GCCGCAGTCCAAGGCGAGGGACCTTGCCGAGATTGGAACCAGTGACGGGAGGCTAGAGCTCGCCTCATCTTCACGCGCTTCTTCATTTAAATCCCATAAATTGGTGTTGGCTCGGGTTAACCCAAACTTGAAGCAGGTCGGATTCGTGTCCCAAAAACTGACCCGTTTGTAAAAACGGGTCGGGTTCTGGTTGACCCAAACAGTGTCGGGTTAGTTTCGGGTTCGACCCGAACCCGACCCGTGACTCAAAATTAACAGGTCTACTCTCTAGGATAAAAATATTTAAGGTTTAAATAACATATAAACTTAATAAGTTAGGAAATTTCCAAAATCATCCGGAGTCGTATACATACTATTGTATTTCTCTCTCTCCTTGTTATAAGACACCTCCTCGCCTACGGGTAGGGTCCAGATAATCTGTCATATAAGGATGAAGTATCGAATCTGGGGTGACCCAATATTTTCTAAAAATTAGTTTATATAAGCTTATTTTTAAAATTTATGCATACCTAATTTGAAAGCCTTTTTTACTAACATGCATTGTATTAAAAATTAATTTAATTAAAATTTAATTGCATTAACTCTAGGAGTATTCACCCTACATAAGTCTAAGGTTAATTAGAAAACTCTTTAGACATCGGTCTTACTTTAAAAAAAAAAATAATCTACCTACCGATCTTTCATAAAGATAGAATAATATGGATTTTATGCGCTTAAGTGGTTAGTTGTCATCCCATTTCAGGCAGGATATAAGCTTAGGTGCATTAGCTATGACACGGGTGTTAGTGTTTGGTAGAATACTAAACACACTTTAGATTTAGGGTTCAAGGCTACTACATTGGGCATTTCGTAGTATGCCTCATCAGTGGGTAAGTTTTTTTTTCTTCAGGGACTATAAATCCCACTTATCAGTGTCACATAGATGATGACACCTCCATCCTTCCCCTCTGTATGCTTTGAGTGTATGCTCTGCTTTCTCTACTTACTACCTTAATCTCTATGGATGTTAGTATGAACCGTGTATATTGACTAAGCCACTTGAGCCCTTCTTTCTCTTTGAGTTGGAACTTCCTAGTCCCCCTATGTGTATCAATCCTCTTTTTAGAAAGAATAACATCAGATCCTTAATCGAGAGTTTTCTCAAGCCCTAGGCTTGAGATGTAATTAACCACGGAGACTTATACACGTGAGAAATAGAACTCCACCATCATAAATCCCACTCGAGCTGATGTATTGGGTGAGGGAACCCCGTTGTTTTCATCAGGTCATATATATTACTACCCATTGGGATGCACTGGCGAGAGCCGCTATCCTCAATTGTTAGTCATATGTATGATCTAATCTGCCCTTCCAGTGGTTCGTTTGCGAGGAGCGCGTAGGCCTGCGAGCTTTTTTATCCCTTGGAGTGGTGTGGTCGTATACCCTCTACACTCTGCTGCAGCCAACGGTGTCCTTTCAGAGGTCCACAATGTTAATCGTATTTTTTTGAATGGAAATATTGCTCAAAAAGTGTGGAGTTATTTTATAGCTCTGGCTAATAAAGGAAATGTTAATATTAATAATGATGTTTTGTTTATGTTAGAATGTTGGATGACTACTTCTTAAACCCAAATCTATAATTTAATGCCCATTTTTATTTTATGGTATCTTTGGAGAGCTGGAAATGATTCCAAATATAATGACATTAACATGGATGCTACTCAATTTATTTCTAATGTTAGAAATAAAATTTTACAATTTTATTTTGTCAATCTTATTTCTATCAAGAATTTCCACAAATGCATTAACATGGCTTTAATTTGATTTTGGTATTCATATTGATTGTGGGCCATCAAATTATTTTGACAAGGTTGTTATATGGATTAAACCTTATCATCCATACATTAAACTTAACTCTGATGGGTCTATTGAGGCCATTGGTGCGGGTGCGGGTGCTGGTGGAGTTAATCGGGATCATTCAAGTAGTGTTCTAGCAGGTTTTGTTGGTCCTTTACATTTGTGTAGTGTTATTACTGTCGAAGTGTTGAGCTTATGGGTTTGTCCTATGGCCTGGATATTTATATTACTTTGGGTTTTGAGTTTGTGTTGATTGAGGTGGATGATATGCTTTTAATTCAGATCATTAACAATGTTATGTATGGTAACCCTCAAAACTTTTATCTGATTAGGAAAATTAATCAATCCCTCTCTTCTATTAATTACTCTATTTCTCACATTTATCGTGAAGAAAATTTGTGTGTTGATTGGTTGGCTAACTTTGGTTGTCAACTTAATATTTTTCAGGAGTTGAACATTAGGAATTCACCTCATATGGTGAAAGGTATTATTAACTTGGACAAAGCTGGTTTGACTTATATCCGTAATGGTATAGGTTGTTGTTTATTTTATTATATTAGCTATGTTTCCTTGTTTTCTTAGATTGAATTCGGGCTATTGTTGGTTTTTGTTATTTAAGCGGGGTCCTTATCAATTGTTTATCTTATTGGTGTTGTTGGGAGCGTTGAGTCCTGGTTAATTGTGGGCTTCCTTTTATTCGTAATGGTTGATGGCTTTTTTCGTGGTTTTCTTTCTTTTATGTATCTGATCTTTCTGCTAGTTGCTGCTGGTTGGATCCTTGTTTCTCTGTTCTTCTTTTTCGTGTTATTTACTGTGTGTCAGTGGCTCTGGTCTGGTCGAGTTAGTAGTATGTTTGGTGATTGGTATGGTATGGTTTTATTTGCTGGATACAGTGGGAATATTTCTAGGATGTTAATTGTTATTTGGATTTGGTTATGTGGTTTAGTTGCTGCTCGTAGGGGAAATTTTTTCGCTTATTATTTTAATCATCATTTGGTGGGTATTTGGTTACTATTTCTTGGTGCTACTTCCTGAGTCTATGTATTTGTGTTCTATCTTTTCATTTTATATTCTGGGATGGTTATTGGTCGTGGTGTTGTGGTGTGTGTTGAGGGTAGTGGATGCTACAATTTTGGGAATGCTGGTGCTGTTATACACTCGGTTGCTATGATATTTCTTATTGATTATATTAGTGGGAGTTTGCTGCTCCTTATTATGACCGAGGCTACAGTGTTTGCCTTCATTGCTATTAGAAGTATGACCGACATTTGGTTTGCTACCTTAACTTATTTTGTTAATAGCAACTGTTTGATTTTATATCTTTATCATTACTGGTTCCATCCATCTTGCAACTTTATCCCCTTGTGTTGGAGTTTCTTTTTTGTAGTTTTGGAGGCTGGATGATTGTCTTGGCTTTTTGTGATGGTAGGTCACATGTTCAAGGTTTTTTTGGGAAGGTGTTGTGTTGCCTACCTTTTTTTGCAGGAAGTTGGTGCTGATTGATCTATTTTTGTTCTTCCTTTTTTGTGTGTTGTCTACTTGCATCCCTATAATGCTCTTAGGAATTTTTGTAACTCTTAGTATATGGAACCATCGGCTCTAATGTTTTCTTTTTTTTTTTCTTTTGTGGCTCCTGTGAGCATTAGTGAGCTGGAGGTTCCTTTTAAGGACATTGTAATCTTTTATTTATATTAACGTGTAGGCCCCTCCATAGATTTTCCCTAAATTAAAAAAAAATGCATGCTTGAGTGCTTGCTCTCCATGTATCTCATAGGAATATCTTCTTCACTTTGGAAGTAGTTCTTTTAATTTCTTTAGGATCTTTGGATTTGTATATGTATGTAGCAAGAAATTTTATTTATTTCAAAAAAATGGAAATTGTTGATCTTATCCAATAAAACAAACTGAATAATATTATTTTTATATATAATATAAGTTTAATTGCATCTATATCATCAACAATATCTCCAAACCTACACAACACTTCCCTCATCCCTTCGACGCCACTCTGGCGATTTAGGGTTTCCTCCGTGAGATCGCGTTCTCTTCGCTTTCTCCCTGGTTTTCTCGCCCTTCTTCGTTGCTTTTGTTAGAGAATCTCAAGCGTTGGCTATTCCTGAGGGTTTGTGGCCCTTTTGGGCGTGGATCGCATGGCGGTCGCTCCTCCAGCTAATCCATGGGGGAAACCTTCAGATTCGTTGATAGCTAAGAATAAAGGTTTTTTTAACCTTGATTCTAAAGGTTCCAAATCTCCTTCTACCTCTAGATCTTTTAAAGAAGTTTTAGAGGGGGCTTCTTCAGGTGATACTTTTCCTAATGTTCAACAATCTGTTTTTAATGGTATTCCGACTGTGCTTTTATCCGATGAAGAAGTTCTTAAACTGGGATCGCCTTTTCAATTCACTATGGTGGGTAAGTTTGGTGTCCGGTGTCCTAATCTTGATGCTATTAGGAATTTTTTTTTCATCTTTTAAGCTAACTGGTTTTTATTCGGTGGGTCTTTTGGATACAAGACATATGGCTATTCAATTATCAAATAATTTTGATTATAGTAGGGTTTTTTCTAGACGCTCATATTTCATCTATAACTGTCAAATGCGTATTTTAAAGTGGACTCCTTTCTTTGACATTAAGGAAGATTCTCCTATCGTGCCAGTTTAGATCTCTTTCTCAAATCTTCGATTACATTTTTTTAACTCTAAAGTTTTGCATGCTTTGGGTTCCGTTTTTGGGAGGCCGCTCCAAACGGATCAGGCAACTGCTGCTAGGACTCGCCCTTTTGTTGTGAGAGTGCTCGTGGAAGTGGACATTTCAAAAAAACACCCTAAGGAAATTTGGGTCGGATCTAAGGCCTATGGTTATTTACAAAAGCTGAATTTGAAAAAGTCCCAGAATTTTGTACTCATTGTAAAATTCATGGCCATGCCCAAGTTGACTGTTTTAAACTAAACCCGGAACTTAAGAAGCCTGCTGTTCAGGCTAGTGGGAGGCTTGGATCTGCTGAGAATAAGCAAATTTATGTGCCGATCGTTCATAATAATGAAGGAAATGATTCTCATGTGGAACCGCCTCCTTCTAGCCAATTGGCACAGGTGGAAAATGTTAATGACAGTATGGAATTTGGGGATTAAGAGATCGGTCATGTGGGAGAAGGTGAACAGGACATGTCTGTTGGTGTTTTAAACGTTAAGAATGATGTTGTGTTAGATTCCAGCATTAATGTAACTATAGCTGATCCTAAACGCTTTATTTTAGTTGATGATATGCTTAACGATATGTCTGCTATTTCTAATTCTGTGGCTATTGAGAATGCTTTACTTTCGAGACAGGATTTTGATCAATTGGAAAAGAATGGTGCGGATGTTTCAAATGAACATTATGAAGAAGGAGAATTTGTGCCTCCTTCTAACTTAAATGCTAAGTCTCCCACTAAGCAAGGTACGGTTTCTTCTTCTATTAACAAATATATTACTGATGGTAATATTATATCTGAGGAGGAGGGTATTTTGAAAGGTGGCAAGAAAAAAGGTAAGCACAATAAAATTTCTTGTCCTGCTACCCCTAGAAATACTAGAGCTCAAAATTCCTTAAAAGATTGCAATGATTAAATCTTTTTTGTGGAATGTTAAGGGGATTGGTGGTAGAGATTCTAAACTTAGAGTTAAAAATCTTTGTAGGATTCACAATATTCAAGTGCTGGTTTTATTTGAACCTCTTATTTCTTTGGACAAAATAGTTGAAACTGCTAAATTTTTGGGTTTTGCTATGCATTTTGGTAATTGTTCAAACAAAATCTGGATTATGTGCACAATTCTATTTCTTTAAGTATTGTTGCTGATTTCCATCAAATTGTTCATTGTCATGTTAATGTTTTTAATATGAACTGCTTTATGTCTTATGTTTATGCTGCCTCTACGAGAATTAATCGTGTTAATCTTTGGGAGCAACTAATTAATTTTTCTAATAACATTAATGGGCCTTGGTGTGTGGGAGGGGATTTTAACAATATTTCTAATGCTAATGAGAGAAGGGGAGGTGGTCTCCCTAATGTTAGAGCTATGGAAGATTTTAATTCCATGATTAATGACTGTAATCTGAATGATATCGATTTCTTTGGTAGTCCTTTCACCTGGAATAGGACTAATCTCTGGCAACGTTTGGATAGAATTTTGTTTAATAATGAATGGATTGCTAAATTTACTGCTACTAATGTGGAGCACTTGAGTAGAACTCTATCGGATCACTCTCCTATGCTTCTTAATATTAATGCGATTAATCAAACTAGTTCTTTTTCTTTTAGATTTCTTAATATGTGGTTATTGCATGATAATTTTAAAGAGATGCTTGAGTCCAATTGGAATGCTCCTGTTTTTCCAGATAATATGGTTACTGGTATGTTGAGGCTTTGGGCTAAGCTGGCTAGATTGAAACAATGCCTCAGACATTGGAATAAAAATGTTTTCAAAAACATCTTTTCGAACATTCTTGAAGCTGAGAATAAAGTTGTTGATCTGGATGGTATTTATTCTGTCAACCCGAATGAGGATAACCTGTTTAATCTTAATCATGCTAAAAATGCTCTTTGCCAATTACAATTTCAAGAAGAGTCCTTTTGGAAACAAAAGTCTAATGCTAAATTTGTTATGGAGGGAGATAGAAATACCAAATTTTTTCATGCTATTGCTAATAAGAATAAAATTAATAGTAGAATTCATAAAATTGTGAACAATGATGGTATTTTACTTGAAACGGAGGAGGATATCTGTAAGTCGGGAGTGGATTTCTTTTTGAATATGTTTAATAACCATGCTGTTATTGAGCATATTCATAATCCGTCGGTTATCCCTAAGCTGATTAATGATGCTGATAATGTTTTGCTTTGTCAAATTCCTGCTGAGAATGAAATTTTTGATGCTATCAAGGAGATGAATGGCGATGCTACAGCTGGTCCTGATGGTTTTTCGACCATGTTTTTTTAGAAATCTTGGGAGAGTATTAAGGTGGATGTTATTGAAGCTATGCAAGATTTTTTTGGTGGCACTTCTTACCCTAAATTCTTTTCCTCTACTAATATTGTTCTTATTAAGAAAAAAGAAGGGGCTAACACTTGGAATGATTTTAGACCTATTAGTATGTGTATTTTTTTTAATAAATTGAACTCTAAAATTATTGCTAATAGACTGTCTAAAGTGTTGCCTAGAATTATTTCTCTGAATCAAACCGGTTTTATTAAAGGGAGAACTATTAGTGATAATATTTTGCTTGCTCAAGAACTTACTCATTATTTAAATGTTAAGATTACTGGGGGCAATTTTATTTTAAAGTTAGATATTACTAAAGCTTATGACAATTTGGATTGGACCTTCCTTTACAAGGTGTTGGCTTTATTTGGTTTTAACCAGAATTTTATTTTGTTGATTAAAAATAGTATTGAGAATTTTTTCTTCTCGGTTATTATAAATGGCAGAAAGCATGGTTATTTTAAATCCTCTAAAGGTCTTGGTCAAGGGGATACTATTTCTCCTGCTCTTTTTATTATTGCTATGAAATATTTATCTAGAGGATTAGAAGATCTTTATGCTAAGAATATTTCCCTGAAGTTTCGTACGATTAGAGATTTTCCTATATCTCATTTGAGTTTTGCCGACGATTTCATTTTATTTTCAAATGGTGCTATTAAGAATGTTAAAATTTTAATGGTTGTAGTGGCCTTGCTTTTAGTAAAGATAAGAGTACTTTTATTGTTGGTAAATCGGTTAACCAGAGCAGAATTCAAGCTATTCAAAGAGCTTGTGGCTTTCAAGCTAAAAAGTTGCCGATGAGATATATATTTGGGAACGCCCATCTACAATGGTAAAAAAAAGACTTTCCTTTTTGAAGAAATTTTCACTATGGTTCAAAAAAAAAAAGGCTAGTTGGTCGCCTAATTTTTTTTCTTTTGGTGGCCTTTTGATTCTTATTAAATCTTTGCTTAATTCAATTCCCATTTATCTTTTTAATACCTTAATGCCCTCCCTTTCTATTTGTGCTAGAATGGAAAGAATGTTTAACAAATTTTTTTGGGGTTCCAAATTGGGTGCTAATGCTATTCATTAGTCGGCGTGGCATAAAAATTGTGGGGTGTTAGATGAAGGGGGCCTCGGCTGTAAGACTTTGAATGATACGGCTACTGCTTTTTCTCACAAATTGTGATTTTCTTTTCGATCCAATTCTAGTTTATGGGCTCATTATATGAATGTTAAATATTGTAATAAGATGCATCCTACTTTTGGTTTTTATAAAAATACTGATTCTAGGACTTGGAAAAGGCTGTGTAGCATAAAAGGGGAAGTTGAAAACTTTATTCAATGGGGCTTGGGTAAGGGCGACATTTATTTTTGGCAAGACAATTGGTTGGGTAATGCTGTGATTGATGCTTACTTAAATTCTCATACCTTGGAAACTATTAAAGTGTCTTCTTTCTTTTTAAATAATGGGTGGAATATTGATAAGTTAAAAGAAATTTTACCTATCTGTTTGGTGGACAGGATTTTGAAAATTCCTTTACAGATGAATTGCAATGATCAAATTCTTTCGACTGTGTCCTCCAATGGTAAATTTAAACTTAAAAACCTGTGGGAGAATTTTCGTATTCCTTCTGTTAAATCTCCTATTTATGCGGCTATTTGGCATAGTTCGTTTCCTATCACTTATTCTACTTTTGTTTGGAGGTGTATTAAAGTTTTTCTCCCTGTTGACAATTTGATTCAAAGAAAAGGTATTACGTTAGCTTCTAAGTGTTTTTGTTGTTTTAAGTGTGAGGATATTGACCACCTTTTCATTAATGGGTTGATTGCTAAAAAAGTTTGGAGTTATTTCAACAATATTACTGATAAGAATTTTACGACAATTAATACCTTACATTTGATGTTGGAGAACTGGTTTCATTCTAGTTTAGGGCATATTTTCAATCTTTTACCCATTCTTATTCTCTGGTATATTTGGAGGCTAGAAATGAGGCTAAACATGAGAATATGAAGATGGATGCTAATATTATCATTGATAATGTGAAAAGAAAGGTTTTGCAGCTTTTTAATTTCAATATTTTATCTAGTAAAATCTTTTATAGATGCAAGCATTTGGCTGTGTTCTTTGAGATTACCTTGGATCAAGCCTCTCCCAATATGGCTGATTCTTTTGTTTACTGGATAAAACCCAAGCTTCCATATGTGAAATTGAACACTGATGGATCCGTGGGTTTGAAGACGGCTGGAGCGGGAGGTATTATTCGTGATTTTTGTGGTGAGGTCGTGGTTGCCTTTGCTACTCCTCTTCAGACTAATGATGTTATTTCTGCTGAGTTGAATGCGTTAATTCTGGGTTTGGAACTGTGTATTAAATATGGTTGTAATTCTGTGTTGATTGAATTAGACGCTATATTTATTGTGCAAAGTATTAAAGATGGGGCCACGGGTAATGCTAACTATTTTTATCTTTTTAGAAAAGTTAAGAATATTATGAATGAGATGAATGTTTTTATTTCGCATATTTACAGGGAAGGCAATGTTTGTGCGGACTGGCTTGCTAATAGGGGTTCTACTCTTTATGACTATGAAGAATTGAATATTTTAAATTTAGATAAAGTCCTGAAGGGTATGCTTCTCTTGGATAAGGCTTGTATGCCTTATTTCAGAACTGGATGATTCGTTTTTTATGGTATGCTGGCTCTGTTTTCTCTTTCTTTTTGCTGCTGGGTTTGTTATGTTGGCTATGTTTTCTCTTTGTTGCTACTGTTGGGGTTGTTTGTTTTCTTTTCCGGGGTTGGTATTTACCTGCTGGTTTGTCACTATTATGGTTATGTGCTTCCTTGCTAATAAATGGGGGCATCTGTTGCAGTTTCTGGGTGAGCATTTATTTGGTATTTCCTGGTTGAATAGTATTGCTGGGTATATTCTGAGCTATGGTATGCATTTTAGTTTGAGTATTATGGGTAATTCTGGTTTCTGGTGGCATCAGTATGATGCCAAGCTGTATGGTCCTTTCTATGTTACGAAGGGGAAGAGGGTGTGCTTGATGAATGCTTTGATGGGGTTATTATTTGATTGGAAAAATTCCTGGACTATTTATAATATTGAGGAGCCTAAAGCTTTTTCTAATTTATGTGGTAATCTTATCATTTTTTGGAGTATTCTTTGTAGGTTTCTTATCAAGTTTCTTGATCAGAGCTCGACTGTCTGCAAGGTATACTTTACCTGTTTTTTCCATTTCTTTTTTGTCTTTCGTAGTCTTTTTTTGCAGGAGAGCTGTGCTGAATGTGAATATTTCGATTCTCCTTTTTTGGGTGCTGTCTACTAACAGCCCGTATATTTATTTCAGTTTTGATTGTACTCTTAGGGAAAGGATCCACCGGCTCGTAGGTTTTTATTTTTATCTTGTAGCTCGTTCGAGCATTAGTGAGCTGGAGGAACTTTTTAAGGACGATGTAACCGGTTTTTGTTATTAACGCGTAGGCCTCTACTGGTGGGTTTTAACCCAAAAAAAAAAATTGCATCTATAATAAATATTCTACTAATATTTTAAAAATAATAATAGTATAAAAATATAAAATCATGCATTGAGTTATATATAAATATATACTATTTCTGTAAGTTTTTTTTTTTTTTTTTTGAAAAGGAAAAGAAATTAAATGAATTAAAGTGGAAAGAAAATGCTGAAAATCTGCTTGGTTCATCTAAAATATGTAGAAGATTTTCTTCTTGGTTGGGTAAATTAAACAAGAGAAATACTGAATTCTATTTTAATAATAGAGAAAGAAAATTGCTTTGTTTGGGCAACTTAAGCTTTTTGTTTTTGTTATTTTTTTTATTCACAGCTTCAAAAATGCTTATTCAAAAACATTTTTTTAAAGATAAATTTTTAAAAAGTAATTAAAAAAATTGTCTTCCATACATAAATTAAGGATTCATTTGGGACGGCTTTTTACTGCTTCTCAAAATAACTTTTTAGTATAAAATTAAAAAACATCTTTCTCAAAAAATTAATTTTGTACTAAAAAGCTATTTTAAGAAGCAGTAAAAAAGCTGTCTCAAACGAAATCTAAATCTTCCAACACTTCAAATTCAAATCTCCCTTCATTTTTCACCCCTTCATTTTTCACCAAGTTAATCATTGTAAGTATTTTTCTCAATATAGAATTGAAAGTAGCCTGTTATGCAAGAAAGCTAATTAAAGTTTTAATTACATAGCGTGCATAAGCCTTTTAGCCCATCTTATTTTATTTAAAAGCGTCTTATATATCAGTCCGAAAATCCAAAAAAAAAAAATTTGAAAAAGAAAGAGAAAGAGCTTATGATGAACGTATCTACTTACCAAAAGCTTAATATATAACACATATTTACTTTGCTATACATCGATGCATTACAAGTAGCATCAGCGCTTATTGAAGTCTCTACTGCAGAGCAACTTCTTCTACCTATACTATTACATATATATAAGTGTGTACGTTGCTGCACTAAAGAGAGCTTACTTAGAAAATCCAGCGAGGAAGCTTACGAGGGAGATTTCTAGGCCTTGGCTGCTCCTTGGGAACTGGCGTGGAAACTACAAATCCACCGTACTTCTTCGCAGCTTCGGTACTGTCAATCACTGCTGGTTCCAACATCTTCTCCAGCATCATAAAGCCATCTTTTCCCACTTTTTCAAGACGATAATGATCATTCATCTTAGGCTTGGGCTGGATATTACGAGCCTTAGAGCTAGAGGGAAGAGGAGGAGGGAAGGAGTTCATATTTCTTCCTTGGAAGCTTTGGTAATTAAGCTTTGTTTGCATGGTAGTGATGGTGGCATAGCTTGCCTTTTTATAGAGGATCACTATATTATTTGTGGAGGAGAAAAACGTAAAGGTGAAGTCTTCATAAGGCATCATATGCTTCTAAACATCCTAACTATAGGCTTGGAGGGTTTAATTATTTCTCTCCTTTAATTAGTGCTATAGAAGAGAGGTAGTAAGTCCAGGTCAAGATTCCAATAGTCCCTACAGCTTCTATGAATGATTGCAAGCAAAAGCAAAGCAGGTGGAGCGCATATGCTCTTATCCTTCGGAGTTCGGAATATCTTCTTTTATTACCAATTAAATGGTAATGCAAGGTATAGTATTCTATACTATCATATCTTACCAATTATTCTATGATGAGTCATCCCAGAAATAAAAAAATTCTGTTACCAACTAAGTTCTTTGCAAAATATATAGGTTCATTGTATATCACATATCCTCAATTTTAGTTAAAATCATGTGATTTTTGGCTTTAACAACCAACAACAAAACTGATACTTTAACGAACAAATCAAATCATAAAATCACATGATACTTCAAGAAAATAGGTAATTAGCGACCATCAAAATTGGTCGTTAAAAATGATAATTTTGCCTCTAAAGAAAATAGCAACAAAAAATATTTTGGTCACTTCAACAGAACAAAGCCCTATAATCTTAAGACGGAAGAGTATTTCAACAAGGACCAATAACCATAGTTGTCAAGCGCTCTGAGCTCTCGCCCTTGCCGCTTCTTAGGCGATTTCTAGGGCTTACTTTGGCCTTCTTCGGAGCGCTGTTTTTCTCTCTTCTCCTTCCATTTTTCTTCCATCGTGTGCTCTCTGGTGTCCCTTTCGGCCTTCTAGCCCTGTTTGGGGATTCATTTTTTGGCAAGGATGTCTTCATCCAACGCTTGGGGGAAGGCTACCAGCCCGATACATGAAAAAAGTAGGGGCTTTTTCGATCTTGATGGTGTTGAATCTACTAAGTCGCCTACTCGCTCTTTCAAAGACGTGCTCTCTGGTAACCTGATGCAAGGTGATAGCACTCCTAAATTTACTCAATCTGTTGTGAACGGTGTTCCAACTATTCTGATTTCTGATAAGGATGTTCTTAAGCTAGCTAGTCCTTTTCAGTTTACCCTTGTTGGGAAGTTTGCTTTACGTCGACCGAATCTTGACTCTATACGCTTTTTTTTTTGCTAATCTTAAACTCTCTAATTTTTATTCAGTGGGGCTTTTGGATTCTAGACATGTAGCGATTCAGTTATCTAATGATCTAGATTATAGTAGAGTGTTTGCTCGGAGATCTTACTTTATAAATAATTGTCAAATGAGAATTTTAAAATGGACGCCATTTTTTTATGTTCATGAAGAATCCCCCATAGTTCCGATCTGGATCCGAATTTAAGGTTACATTTTTTTAATCCCCAAGTTTTACATGCTCTTGGTTCTGTTTTTGGGCGACCTCTGCAAACAGACCAAGCTACGGCTTCCAGGACCCGCTCCTTTGTGGCTAGGGTACTGGTAGAAGTTGACATTTTTAAAAAAATATCCTAAAGAAATTTGGGTTGGCTCAAAGGCTTTTGGTTATTTGCAAAAAGTCGAGTTTGAGAAGGTTTCCGATTTCTGTTCCCATTGCAAGATTCATGGCCATGTTATGTCAGTTGTTTTAAATTACATCCTGAACTAAAAAAAACTGTGAAACCTACGGTTGAGATAGCTGTTCTCCTGTCCGTCTCTAATAATGTGCCAGATCAACTTTTATCATATGCTATTTTGAATAAACTGGTTGAGAAGGAGAATGGCTGTGTTGGGCCAGAAAACATATGTGATTTGGTTGCTAATAGCGAAGGTAATGTCTTGTGTAATGATAGTGAGAAATTGCCTAACTTTTTTGTATATGTTGATTCCATGCTAAAAAACTCTAATGACACTTCTTTAGTAGTTACGGAAGCTAATTTAGCTATTAATGTTGACTCTGATATTAATGAGAATTGTGAAGAAGGGGAGTTTATCCCTACTGAAAACATGAAGGAGAAATATGTGCAAATTCTCGAACGTGGTACCTCTTTACCTTTAGATTTAGAATATTCTAAGCCCAAAAAAATCGTTGTTGATGATTCCTTTCTTAATAATTTTGAGGAGGAGCAATTTACTAAATTTAATAAGTAAAAGGGAAAAAAATAAAGAATTTGTATCCTCTACGTCGTTCTCTACTATAGCACAAACAAATGCTAAAGCTTCTAATGGTTAAGTCCCTTATTTGGAATGTTAGAGGTATTGGTGGGAAGGATTCGAAAACTAGAGTTAAAGATATTTGTAGGATTCATAATATTCAAATTATGGTATTACTTGAACTTATGATTGCTATGACCAAACTTGATAATACGGCTTCTAAGTTAGGTTTTGCTAATAAATTTGCTAATTTTTCTAATAAGATTTGAATTTTTTTTAAGAATGTTATCACGATGAATATTATGGAAGACTTTATTCAAGTCGTGCATGTTTCTATATCTATATTTAATTTTAAATGTAATGCTTCTTTTGTTTATACTGCTTGCTCTAGAGTGGGCAGGTTTGCTCTTTGGGATCAGATTAAGAATTTTGCCTCTATCTCTACGGGTCCATGGTGTGTTGGAGGTGACTTTAACGTTATTTCTAATGCGAGTGAAAGATTGGGAGGTAATAATCCCAATTTTAATGCTATGGAGGATTTTAACTCCATGATTTCTTCTTGTGACTTACATGATATTGGTTTTTTTGGTAATGCTTATACTTGGAATAGAGGTAACTTGTGACAAAGACTGGATAGTCTTATTTAATCAGGATTGGATTGCCAAATTCCATATGACTAATGTGGAGCACCTTAGTAGGATTGTTTCTGATCATGCACCTTTACTGCTTTCTATAAATGCTAATAAAGAGTTTATTCCTACTGCAATATTTAAATTTCAAAATATGTGGCTTTCCCATCATGATTTTCTTAATGTTTTTGAAAATAATTGGAAGGCTCCTTTATTTCCTTGTAACAATATCTCGGGTATGGCTAAGCTTTAGAGCAAACTTAGTAGGCTTAAACAGGTTTTGAGATGGTGGAACAAACATACTTTCAAAAATATTTTTGATAACATTCATAATGCTGAAAAGAGGGTGATGGAACTTGAGCAGATTTATCAGCTTAATCCTGATAGTACTAAGCTTTCTGATCTTAATGTTGCTAAGATCAATCTGTTTAATTTACAAGAATAGGAAGATATCTATTGGCAACAAAAGGCTACGACTAAATTTACTGTTGATGGGGATAGGAACACCAAATTTTTTCATGCCTTGGCTAATAAGAAAAGAACTAGGAACCATATTTTTAAAATTTCTACTAATGATGGTAGGGTCTTGGAGGAGGAAGATTCTATTTTAAATTCTGGTGTGGAGCATTTTAAAAACATTTTTAACAGTGTTTTTCAACCGACTCCTATTAATAATCCTTATATTGTTCCTTGTTGTATTTCTGAGGCTGATAATTTCCAACTTACTCTTGTTCCGTCTGAAGAGGAGGTTTGGAAGGTTATGTAGGATATGAATATTGATTCAGTTGCAGGCCCTGATGGGTTTACTACTAAATTTTTCATTAAGACTTGGCACATTACTAAGGGGGATATTTTGGAGGCAGTGGCTGACTTCTTCTCGGGTAAACCATATATGAAATTCTTTTCTTCTACTAACATTGTTT